CAGGATAGCCACACCCTCATGGGGTGAGGGTCCCCGCTGGGGGGCTTGGCCAGCCTGCAAACAGCCATCAGTCACTCACCCAGGCTGCCCAGGCACCCCAGCACGGACCCCTACCCTAAAAGGGCTGTGGCCAGCCTGAAAACAGCCATCAGCCCCTCACTCAGGCTGGCCAGGCACTCCAGCGGGACCCCCACCCTGATCCGGGACATCCTTCAGGGCAAAACAGCTGGCCCCCACCCATGCACCAGGCCTCTATCCTATATAATAAAAGGGTAATATGCAAATTGACCCTAACAGCAGAATGACTGGGAATGACTGGTCACTATGACACACACTGACCACCAGGGGCAGACGCTCAATGCAGGAGCTGCCCCCTGGAGGTCAGTGCGCTCCCACAGGGGGAGCTCTGCTCAGCCACAAGACAGGCTGACAGCTGCCAGTACAGCGGTGGTGGTGGAAACCTCTCCCACCTCCTCAGCAGCACTAAGGATGTCCAACTGCAGCTTAGGCCTGCTCCCCACTGGCAAGTGGACATCCCCCGAGGGCTCCGGGCTGCCAGAGGGATGTCTGACTGCCAGCTTAGGCCCAATCCCCTGGGGAGTGGGCCTAAGCCAGCAGGTGGTCATCCCCCGAGGGGCCCCAGACTGTGAGAGGGCACAGGTTGGGCTGAGGGACCTCCCTGAGTGCACAAACTTTTGTGCACCAGGCCTCTAGTAAAAATATATTTTAAAAGAGAAAAGACCTAGCATTTACACCTGGAGAAAAAGATCACTGTGACCAGCTACTTCTCTTAATTGTGGGTTGTTGAAATAGTTTTAATTTTGCTCAGAGCCAAGGCAAACGTTTTTTATTAAAAACAAAATGCACAGAAACAGAGAACTGATATAGTGAAACCCAGTAGCAATGGCTAAGATTGGTGGCCAGGCAATAAAGCAGTTAGGTTATCAGACTTTAAAGGACTTCTTGGATTGGCTGTTGGTAGCACTTTTCTACTTCTTCTCTCTTAACTGAATCCTGTGTTGTTTCACATACCACAAAACTTGTCTGGAGAAGGTGGATCCTTCTCTTGGACCCATGGAATGAACCATGATCAACCTGATTCACTTCCTTTTTGCAAATGATGGGTCTAACCAATGTGGTGGTCATTTGGCCCAGTTTTCAGCAAGGAGAAAAAACTGGAATTTTTTTAGTAGCTTCTAGAAAGATTATTCCCTCTAACAAACAAAAAGAGATACTAAGGAGAAAGCCCATGTCCCTTCCTATCTGTCTCTGAAGCTCAGAGAGTGTGAGTCTGAGTAAGTCTATGTACAGGCCCTTTAAGAGGAACTGCTTAGGACTCTAGTAGCCTCTGTCTCCCTCAGCTTCAATCCCTGCTGGTTTTTAGAGCCAGACCTTATGGGGACTTCTCTTCTTGCACTGGAACCCTGGTGTGGGGCTGGAAACCCTCACTCCTCAGGGGATACCTCTGCAGCCAAGATATCCCTCCTCATTTTTATCTGCCACACGTGGGTGTGGGACCAGCCTGTTCTGCATCTTCACCCCTCCTACCAGTCTTATGTTATTTATTATTTTATTAAATTGATTGGGGTGACATTAGTCAACATGAACATATAAGTTTCAGGTGTGGGTTTCTACATTACAAGATATGTATATTGCATTGTGTGCCCACCACCCAAAGTCACCTTATATTAAGACCCTCTTTTTCCCCCCACCACCTTTCCTCTAATCACCACACTGCTGTTGGTGTTCCTGAGTATCAGTTTATATCCCAACATATGAGTGAAATCATATGGTTCTTAGCTTTTTCTAACTGACTTATTTCACTTAGCATAATGTTCTCAAAGTCCATCCATGTTGTTGCAAATGGTGCTATTTCATCCTTTCTTATGGCTGAGTAGTGTTCCATTGTGTACATGTACACAACTTCTTTACCCAGTCCTCTACTGTGGGACACTTTGGTTGTTTCCATGTCTTGGCCACTGTGAATAGTGCTGCAATGAACATAGGGGTGTACATATTTTTGTGAATACATGACTGAGTATTTTTGGGTATAAACTCAGGAGAGGGGTTTCTAGGTCATATAGTAGCTTTATTCTTAATTTTTAAAATATATATATTTTTATTGACTTCAGAGAGAAAGGGAGATGGAGAGAGAGATAGAGACATCTGTGTTATGAGAGAATCATTGATTGTCTGCCTCCTGCATGCCCCACACTGGGGATTGAGCCCACAATCCAGGCATGTGCCCTGACTGGAAATCAAACTGTGACCTTCTGGTTCATAGTTGATACTCAACTACTGAGCATGTTGGCTGGACTATTATTAATTTTTTGAGGAATCGCCAGACCGCTTTTCATAATGGTTATACCAGTCTGCATTCCCACCAGCAGTGAATGAGGGTTCCCTTTTCCCTGCAACCTCTCCAACACTTGTTATTGATTGTCTTATTGATAATGGCCACTCTAACAGGTGTGAGGTGGTATCTCATTGTAGTTTTTATTTATATTTCCTTAATTGCCAGTGAGGTTAAATATGTTTTCATATATCTATTGGCAGTTCATATGTCTTCTTTGGAGAGGTGTATTTTCAGGTCCTCTGCCCACTTTTTGATTGGGTTGTTTTTTTGTTGTTGAGTTTTATGAGTTCTTTATAAATTTGGGAAATTAAACCCTTGTTGGAGCTACTGTTTGAAATATAATCTCCCATCTGGTTGGCTGCCTCTTTATTTTGTTGTCATTTTCTTTTGCTGTGCAGAAGCTTTTTAGTTTGACATAGTCCCGTTCACTTATTTTTGCCTTTACTTCCCTTGCCTTTGAGGTTACATTCATAAAATGTTCTCTACGAGTCGCAAGCTGCCAGCTGCAGGGCTGTGTCTGTGGGCCATCTTCCCTTCTCATCTCCCCGTTTATGCCCCTATGCCCATTTTTAGATGTTTCCGTGTGTGGGTCTCTCAGGCATGTATCTGTGTTGAGCAGGAATTTCTTTGTTGAATCATAGATGGTTAACTTGTTGAAATGTCAGGGGGAGAGGAAAAGATGCACCTTTATGCTGCCATTCCTCTGATGTTACTTTCCTACCAATCTAGAGGTGGCTTCTTCCTTAATTCTCTAGTGGTAGGACTTTCCTTCAGCCAGATTTCAGGTGGTTCTGAATGATGGCTGTTTTGTAGTTTAATTGTAATTTTGATGTGGTTGTGGGAGGAAGTGAGTACCATGTTTACCTACACTGCCATCTTACCTAGAAATCCTAGAATTCTTAAGTGATGTAAAGCTGCTCTATGGTTTTTGCCACCTTTAGTTTCATCTCCATAATACGCTGGATAAAGAGAAACAGCTTGAAGCAAACACACCATACAAGAGGGAAAGAAATGTGTCTGAACCAAGGTGAGACTTTGATAATGCCAGGCCCTCTGTCTGGGGTTACATAGCCTTCAAAGGATTTAGAAAATGACCAAATAGCACATGTTTATTGAGCACCTACGATGTGTCATACACTGTGCAGAGTGCGGGGTTCACCAGTGTGGACAAGTCAGGCAAGGTCATTGAGACCATGGATGTCACATTCTGGAAGATAGGTGATAACAAGCAAAGAAATAAGGATAGGTGAAAATATTCATAGGCAACTTTCTTGGTGTTTGTTCAAATCAGTCCTGAGTGAAAACTCAGACTGTAGAAGCAGATAGGTATGGATTCAAATTCTACCTCTACCACTTGCTGTGATCTTGAGGAAGTGATTTAAAATTTCTGAGAATCAAAAAAGAAAAATTCTGAGAATCCGTTTCCACAGCCCTAAAATGATGATAATAAAAAACTAACTCCTAGAGTTGTGAGGATTAAATACACAAGAAACCCACTGTAAAGTGTTTTACATGGAACCTGGCATATGGTCAGTTTCTCAAGATTCTAGATGATGATCAGGGTGATAATGGTCACCCTCATCCTCATCCTCATTTTCATTGTCATAGTAATTTGTGCCAGGCACTGTGGGTGTCAAAGGATGAACAAGACCCTGCATTCAAGAAATCTGGGAGGCAAGAATTCAAATTTGGCCATAGAACAGTCAAAAGTTAGGCAATGAATTAGGCAGGAAACAAAAGAATTCCTCTGGTAACCAGGGATGGGGTAGGCTAGGCCTCCTGTCTCTACTTTTCTCCCACACATGTTTTATAACCATTATCCCTTTTTCCAAGCAGGAAAGAAATATTCTGAATGATTGCTGCTCTTCGTTTACAGACAGCTGCTGTTCCCAAGAGAATCAAGCGGGCTTTTTCTTTCTCCAGTGAAGTGAAAAATACAGGACGTGCATATCTGGGTGGCACTTACCAGCCTGTGTCTGTGCAAACACACACAGATACTCCGGTAAATGACCTCACCAAGCCCCATCTCCCTTCCTTCATCCTCTTGAAATCATACCGGCTTAATGCGTTTAGTATTCTGCAATTGACTACTAACTGCCATATTCAGCTAGAAACTACAGATAAACATTGACTAATCGGGTCCCCACACCCACACACATACCCTCACCCTTAGAAACATTTCCACTGATGGTCACACGAACCACTGAGCACCCTCTCACCCCTGGAGAGCATCTTCCCACAGGCTTGCTTACACACTGGCTTTTTATTTGAGCTCTCAACTCTCAGATAGGAATTTCATTAACAAAGGAAGGGGAGGGGAAATGAGGAGGAAAGTATAGACGCTGGGGGAAAGCAGTGACAATCGTTTTCAAAGGGACCTAATATTGTGTCATCCTAGGCTGACCCTTCCTTATAACTGTTCTTTATTTGTACATTCTGTGCCTGAAAACAAAATAACTTTTCATTGATTGGGCAATTATCCAGGCTCTCAGCTTGGCACCCAGCCCCCAGAACTGTGAAATTAGCCTCACCAAGCCTATGCTTTGAAATGAGAAAACATCTAACTGGAAGCCCATTCAAAATAAGAAACTTGGCTCAAGGCTCCAGGGTCCTGTGTGTCTTCCTTCTTTTGGCTGCATCTCTCTCATCCAATCTCGGTGCAGAATCTCGCTTGGCTAAGAAGTAGATCAGGAACAAGAAATCAGTAGTGCTGAGAACGTCCCGTGAGACTCTCAGAAGTCACCGCCTGAGTATCAAACCTGAATAACCAGAGCGATGTAACCTCGGCACACTCGTAGTTGTTTTCTTCCTGCCCACGCTGCAGGCTTTTCAGGTCCTTGCTTGAGAGTGAACTCACAGGCGTAAATAACGTGCTGTCAACCGCCTGTGTCAGGCAGCTCAGCTATTTAAGCAGGCCAGCATCAGAGAACTCAACTTCCAAACCCAGCCTTCGCCACTTCCACGTAAGTAACTTTCAAAGATCTGCCTTTAATGTAGGAGGAATGAACTTTGTGTAGAAGCGACGGAAATGCTCCACTTACCATATTTGCTATTCTGCTGGGAAAGGTGGAGGTGTAAGGGAGAATGAAAGCTAAGAGCTGGTCCCAAGCAGGGAGCCAGAGAATGCTGAGGGATGTACGATATCAAAGAATTACAAAACGTGCATGGAGTTGAGGTGGATTTGGAGCGAGGGGCTGTCTATGTTGGCCTTCTGGCTAGTAGGTGAGGTGTTTTTCTCACTCTCTCCTATCTCTGAAAGAACACTTTGAAACCAGTGCTTGTATGACTGTGCTCAGTTACACATGAGTTTATCATTTAAAGCCAATATTGCTGTGCTACATCTCAGTTTAAAATTAGACATAATATCATTTTAAAATATTTTTGTGTTCAATGCAGGGGGGGAGGGGAGGTATCTCTGGTTTGAGTAGAGGTGGCTCGACTGTAAATTTGCAGTGCTATTTCTTGTTACTGCTGGTTCTCATAATACTTATCAGTTATGAAAATGAAAATATTGATCTTGTTTAAGATGAAAAGGAACCCCATGATCAGGGGTTTTGAGAAAATGTAGGTTTGTGATATTTGAGCACAATGGTACCCAGGTAAACTGTTAAGTAAAGTGGAACAAGAATTATTGTGGGAAAAAGGGCACAGCATACCACAGAACTTAGGTGAGACGGTCTTAAAGAGAAGAGGAATGCAAAAAGTTTCCATGAAGTAGCACTTCCCTCGACAAGGTCTGTAGTGTATTTAGTTAAGAAGGGGTAGGATAACCAGAGCAGACAGAGAACAAAATAAAGGTACGGGGGAGGAGAGAAGGGAGGGAGGGGGAGCGGATGGTAGAGGATTTATAATTAGACATCATAGTCACAAAATGCATATAGGAATACAATAAGGAAGACATTAATTCCATAGTTCCTCGCTTGGATCAAGAACCTGTGACTAAGATTAAGAATCTGGTGAAAGCCAAGAGCCTTTTGAAGGTAGTCCCCCCACCCCCGTGTCCCCAATACACACCATGATGTTCATTTTCTGGACCGCTGGAAGTCCAAGCCCTAAATTCAATAGTTGAAACCAAGGCTTTTATTTTATTTATTTATTTTTGCTTTTTTTTTTTTAACTGAACTGAAGCTGCTGATTTAAGACCCTGAACCCACTGGCAGGCACTTCTTAGCCACCAAACTGAAGCTCAGTTAGAAGGTCATAAAGGTCTGATTTCAATCAAGCAAATTATGATTAGGGGGCTTCTCTGAGCAAAGATAAGTTGGGGGCCAGGAAGAAGAGGAAACAAATGAAAGGTAGCTTCTGTTCTCAAAGAGCTTGATATCTAAACAGCAAAAACAAAATGATAAGAGGCCAGGCAAAAAACAGTACACACTGTGTGACTTTATTGATAGAAAATGCAAACTAATTGATAGTAACAGAAAACAGATCAGTGGTTACTTGGGGGAGGAGGACAGGAGGAAGAGGGCTGGGAGGGCTACCAAGGGCACAGGGAAATGGGATGGTGGATGTGTTCATATTGTGATTGTGATAACCATTTCTTATAAGTGAAAATGTATCAGATTGTACACTGTAGACACTGCAGCGTTATATGCCAATTACAACCCAACAAACAATACTTGAGCAATAGATCTTTTTTAAAATAAACAATTTTTATTTTTTTTAAAATATATTTTTATTGACTTCAGCGGAAGGGAGAGGGAGAGCGAGCTAGAAACATCAATGATGAGAGAGAATCATTGGCTGGCTGCCTCTGGCAAGCCCCCCACTGGGGATCGAGTCCCGAAACCTGGGCATGTGCCCTTGACTGGAATCTAACCATGACCTCCTGATTCATAGGTTGCCGCTCAACCACTGAGCAATGCCAGCCAGGCAATAGGTCTTTTTTTAATCATTAAAAGCAGATCTAAAAATCATCCTATGCAACATACTGAAAATAAAAAATGAGTATGCCTGGAAAATATTAATTCAATAAATAAATCCACAGGGGCAGAACTGTGGATTTTTGTACAACTTGGAAGGTCCCAGGGATCATTTAATTCAGTTTTGAACCTGGGACTGGGTCCCACTCCAACCAATCAAATCAGAACCCCAGGGTGTGTAGCCTGACATTTTTTTGTTTTGAAACTCTCCAAGTGATTCTGATGTAAAACCCAAACCCCTCACTTCACAGGTCAGGATAGTGAGGCCCAGAGAGAGGAGGGGTCACTACTCACTGGACCACACACACCAGGGCCCAGGGAGGACAGCAACAGGACCTCAGAGGAAGAAGGACCCCTAAGGCCATTGCTTCTGGGTCCTCAAAACTACACTACCAGAACTAGCTAGGATGGGGTGTTCAGAATGTTCAAGCACATTCTTGGAACCCAGACATGCTCTGGGGCGGTCAGCCGGAGGAATTACTCAGAGCCTCAGAGGTGCATTATTTAAGGATTGTGCTAGCGCATGAGAAGGGACGGTGAGGAGGGATGTTTCAAAACTAAAGCTTCCTATTGTTCCCTACATAATACCTAGTGTAAGCCAGAGGATTGTAATTACTGTAAAGAATCATGGCTGACGCACCAGGCGCTCGGCTCTGGCGGACAGCCACCCTTGCTCTCTCAGGAACTGGCCTGAGTTCTCAGCATTGGGTGAGTCCTTTTGGCACTACAGGGTCTTTTCAAAGTGATTTCCAATCTCAACACCGGGCAGAAGCGTGAGTGGGTGAAGTTTGTTCTTGTGGCTTCTGTTCTTCTTGTCTGTCCCTCACCTCAGCACCTGTGTGGGGGCAGGGGTGCCCACGGCCTAGGACATCTGGCCATGTTGTTCATGGTTTCTCATCCCTCCGCCAACCCAAATGTGCCCGATTTCCGGGGTGTAATATCCTCAAAACTTTACTTACTCATTTTGGAAAACTAATTAAAGTTATAATGTTAATAGATAAGATTGCTTAATGAGTTATGTCTCTCCCTGGCATATTAAGTAGGTTCCAGCAAGATAGCACATCTGAGAGTTTTCCAAAATGTTACATAAATGTAATTACCATTTGGGACAATCAGGAAAATCAAAGTTTCAGGCAAAACTCATAATCTCTACTAGTCAGAATTCCAAGCAACTTGCTGGGGGAAAATATACCAAGATTGGGGGTTTTCAGTAGAATTCTTCAAATCACATCCCATAAGGAATTCCCTACAGACTGTGGGCCCTGAGAGATTTCTTTTTCTGAATTGGTTTATTTTTTGTTGAATGCATTCATCCTCATCGGAAGTGGCTGCATTTAATTTATCTTTCTGGGGGTGGGGGGGGGGAATGGAGAGCCACCTTAAGGTTACTAAAATGTCAACAAATTCTTCTCACGGGCTTTATAAATATTACCTGGTTTCTCCTTTGGAACAGAAGGCTGCCCCTGGCAGAGCAGTTTTCCTGCCTTAGTGACAAGGAACCCCCTTCTTACAGTCTGGGGCAAGGGGCCCCCTAAGTTCCTGCGACTGTGGGCCCTTGACAGCCCTTTCCTTCATTGAAGAGCTGAGACTGCTGCAGCTCCTGTTGGCAAGTGGTGGCTGCCCGTGGCACCTCCCGCCTCTGGGAGGGGCGTGGCCAGGTGTGTAATAACCTCCCTGGAGCTGAAGCAGAGTCTCAGGCGTCCGGGAGCCCAGGGCAGCTGGGCAGCCAGAGGGCACCGTCTTTACTGGTGAGAGCAGCAGCGAGGAGGGGCGGGGAAGGTAAGCACCACCCTGAGCCCCAGGAGACAGGGACACCAGGAGATGGGGGGACTCCAGCTCTGGGGGGAAGGATTAGGCTGCTGGCGTCGGGGTGGTGGCCAAATCTGTTTCATGCTGCTGTTTGGAAGCCAAATGTTTCCTCCTTTTGCCATTCAAAGTTTCACTTAAAAATGTTTTTATTTAAAAAGTGAGTGATGGGTTTGCACAGGTGATAAAACAGGTTTGTATAACTGTGACAGAATTTCTGCCAAATTCTCTTAGTGTGGAATGGCTTAATTTACATAGACTTTTTTTTTTAAGGCCGCGTCATAACCTAACCTGGATACATTTTTAGAAAATGTTGATGGCTTCCTCAAACTTTTAAAGCACCAAGTGAATGGGGTTGGTGGATGGGGCTGTGCAAAGATGAAATTGTTAGCAGATGCGTGGGCCGTGGCCCAGAGTGATTTATAAAATACTAACCTGCCCATTTAAAAACCAGCACCTGCGGATCCTGAGGCAGCCCCTGGATCACACCCATCCTGCCTGCTGGCCTTGGGTGGGCTGGTGCAGAATAGCCCTGAGGCTGCAAGTAAAAGGGATTCTCCTGATACACCGAGGTGGGGGGTGGGGGTGGGGAGGACTGTTCTCTTCCTGGCGCTTGCTGCCTTGGCCGCCTCTGCCTTCGATGACCCTGGTGTGGATTTGTTATTCCAGCGCTATTGATTCTGAACACACGTGGGTTTGGGGCGTGTGAGTACACGAGCAAGCAGGTACAGGTCAGCCTGTCCTTTTTATTTGCTGGGAAAGTGCCTTCGTGGATCCTTACGTTGAACACACCCTTCCACAGAACTCCGGTGTAGATAAGTCCTGGCAGAAGATAGCCTGTCTTGGGGAGCAGAGTGTGGGGCTGGTGATCAGGAACCTGGGTTTTATTTGCAGCTGTAATGGATGCATAACCCATGGATACAGACGATAGAGTGGTAAAGGCCTGGGAGGGTCGTGTATGGGGTGAGGGCATCAATGGGGGAAAAAAACCCATAAACAGATAAAGCAGGAGGGAACCCAAAAGATGAGTTGTCCAGTGGATTATTAATAGCACCTCCTTTTATTCTCAAAAATGCATGGCCTGAGCAGTGAGCTCTGTGGTCTCCTAGGAAGGCAATGCATAAGACAGTAACGTGAGTTGCTCTAAATGTTGGGATTTGTTGGTGGCTGAGCTGAGTCTGGACCCAGGCCTGCCCATGCCTCATTCTGGCCTCTGCCAAGTCACTCACTCCCAC